GCTTCTCGACATAAGGAATCAATGTGTGGAGGCCCAACTACACAAGCACTTAACTCGCGGAGGCCCCCTCCACAACGCGAATCAATATGTGGAGGCCCCTCCGCGCGAGGAATCAATATGCGGAGCCTTCCCCACAAGGAATCAATATGTGGGGGCTTCTCCACCACCCTCCCCGCCTCCGTCTTCGCTCCTCCTCCATCCTCGGCGTTGCATTGCATTGCGCTGCGGGCGCATGGTATTGCGCGGCGTTGCAATCGCATCGCATTCTTATTGCGTTCCTATTGGGGCCGGAGGAAGGGCCTCGGCCCGTTTCCCCCCCCCCCCCCCCTCCCACCCTCCTCGCGCCCCTCCCCCCCCCCCCCCCCTCCTCCCAACCCCGCTGCGCGCCCCCCCCCCCACCCCCCCCCCCCCCCCTCCCCTCGCACCCCACCATCCTGCCTCGCGCCCTCGCTCGCCCCCCCCCCCCCCCCCCCGCTAGGCGCGGGAGGGCCGCAGAGGGAATCCATGTGAGAAGGCCACTCCACACAGGCAATCAATGCGCGGGGTCTTCTCGACATGAGGAATCAATATGTGGAGGCACCACTACACAAGGATTTGATCTGCGGATGCCCCTCCACGACAAAAGTCAATATGTGGAGGCCCCATCCACGCAAGGAACCAATGCGTGGAACCCTCCGGAATCAATGCGTGGAGGCCTCTCCATGCCCCCCCCCCCCCCTCCGCCCTCCTCGGCATTGCATTGCGCCGCGCTGCAAGCGCATGGCATTCCCGCCTGTCGCCAAGGAGGCGGCGCCACCGCGCGGGGCACGGCGTCGCGTCGCAACCCAGTGAAGTTGCAATCTGCGTCGCGGCAATAGAAGGAACAGGGGAAAGTATAAACGATTGCACTGGCAATGTGCGAAGGGACGGGGAGGGAAGGAAGGAGGTGGGAGAAAGAAATACACGAGGCAGGCATGGGATAAGCATGGAAGTAATGAGGAAAAAAACATGCCGAACGCGATCGCACCGAAAACCAAACGCAAAGAACACACGCGTACACAGAACATACAAACAGCACAGGGAATTATAAACATACATTAATAAACCAAACGCACCTTTTGTTCCAATGCAACATGCAACCAACAACAATCAACGCCGAGGTTTCGGCTTCGGAAGGAAATGGTTACGAGGGAAAGAAGGGCGGAATAACATCAGGAACGCAAGAAAGAAGATCAGTAACAAGATAAAGAAACCATTTTTCCAAGCCGCGATCAATTAAGACCGCTGAACACCAATGGAAAACAACAAAAACAGTCCTCCGTAAAACAAATAAAGAAACCATTGGTCTTTCAATAACAACCGTAAATGTTTTCGGGTTTTTTTTTTTTTTCAAAAAAATCAATGGTTTCTGTGATTTTTACATTGCGGCGACGCAAGTCTTTCATTATGCGGCGATGCAAGACATTCATTATACATTGAAGCACCGATCGCCCGAGAGATTGGCTCCGAGAGCACTGCGCTACGCGCAGTGTTAACATTCGTAGCCAGCCTATCGGCGGGGGGAACTGCTCCGACCTCTGGCTATGTGCCGACCAAGAAAGGGACGCTTCAGATGACAATTCCAAGCCGTCTATCTCCCAAGGTACACTTAGCGCTGCAGTGCATTATCAGAAACTTCTTCCGCAGTGAGAATGTAGTTTCAGTCAGGCTAGCCAAGAGTATTCTTGAGCTGCCTTCGGTTACTTATGCCGACAGCTGCGCAGTGGTCCACTATGACAGCGACGTGAATCCAGGATTCCATTACTATGAATCAGATGGCGCTGGTCTGAAAATTCATGACACGTTCCAGTATTATTCATTGCCTGACGCCCACTAAACCTCAAGCAGGTTTCGATCAGGACATGTCAAGTTTTGAGGAAGTGGCAGATGCACCGACGCCGGAGGGAACCACAAGAGAAGCCTCAGCAGCCGAATCACTACATGATGATGGGCGGCTTTCTACGATTTACGAAGAACCAGAGGCTGATCTCGAGTCGCATGTTATGGAAGTGTGGCATGCAGAACTACAATGGGAAAAGGAGTTGCTGGAGGCAACTCCACCAGAGGACCTCTTCGCCATACCTACGCATGGTTCCAGATCAAAGTGCGCTGCTCACTGTAGCTGATGAACAGCGGGAACACCTGCCGAAGAAGGGGCGCACTCGCGACTCCGATGCCGAGGAGACGCACTACGTCCCAATGCGCACCATGGTCGAAGACGACAGCTACGGACTGGACTCAAATGAGAATGGTCGATACGTCGAACTCTGTTTCGACGGAAATGGCAGACGTAGTTCTGTCCGAACAACAACATATGATACTAGATGCGACTGGGTAACCACTATGCGAATATACGCAACCGCCGCTGCATAGCGAGCTGCGGTTGTCAAGGAAGACGACCTCCTCGCGAAAGTTGACATCCAGGCGAATCCCGAAAAAGTACCGAAGGTCCTCTACACTGAACTCAAGACATGGCTCGACCACAAGTGCTTTAAGATGCAATATATAGCTAAACCGTCGAACATCATGACTTCGAGATACGTGCGCACATGGAAGTTCGTTAAGAACGAGAAGGGCGACATGGCACGCACCATCAGACTACGCTTGGTTCTCCGAGGTTTCACGAACCTTGAATCCTTCGACGTAAACGCATTTTCGGGAACAGCGCGACGGCCAATCCAGAGGCTACTCGCTAGCGCTGCAGCGTGCAAGAAGCAATGGATCATTGCTTCGTTGGACATCAACATGGATTTCCTGAAGGGACTGACCTATCAGGAGCCCGCTGAGGCTACCGGTGGAAAGGAACGCGTGGTGCGTTTTACTCTGCCGCCTGGATCGGCCACAGTGCTCCGAACTCTCCCAGGATTCGAGCGCTACGACGTGTCAAAACACTGCCTACAGCGCATGAAACCAGGCACAGGCACCAAAGACGCACCGCGGGCTTTCTCACTAAAGCTCAGAAGGACCACCAGAGGCTTCGGTCTCCGACCCGCGTCCTACGACGAGGAGTTCGAGACGAGCAACGATTTGCTCACGGCCAAACATGTTGATGACATCAATATGGCCGGCACTGAGGTTACCATTGACAAGTCTGTCAAATGCGGAGAAGATTCTTTTGGTAAGTGTACAATCAACAAGCACACATGCACCAATTATGCTGTGAGATGCACCAACGATGAGGACGGCGATGTCACTTTGGACCAATATGAATACATCAAACAGCTCCGTCCTATACAACATCCTGAACTGACCGGCGCCGACGCTGACGCTCAGGCAACCAAGATGGTTGCCGACGTGTTCGTCAGCCTCAGGGGTGCGCTGGCGTATGCGCTAATCGCCCAGGCGTGGTTGAGGGCGCATGTTGTTTCTCTACGACGTGTCCAAGACCGACAAACATCCAAGTGCGACGACTGAACGCGATCACCAGGAAGCTACAGGCCTGCCCAAAGAAGAGTGTCTACCAGGCGATGAATCCTACGGGCGAGGTCGACCTGCATAGCGACTCAGGATACCGACGCTTGAGTGGAGACGCCGATGACGACGTCAAACGCTATGGCATTCGTGGGGCAAGCCTGCTACGACGTGGAAACACGTCATCCGGTAAGCTTGTCGTTCACGTGATTGATGCGCACTCCAAGTCTCATGGCTTGCAGGCCCGCTCGAGCTTTTCAGCCGAGACACTAGCAGCAGCCCATACTTTGGAGGATTGTTATCCCACGATTGTGACACTGCACGAGCTCCACGCAGGGCCGCGCACGCCCACTCAGCTGAAATATATACTTTAGTTGGGTGGCCTGAGCATCGAGGTCACCTTGACCATAGATGCTGAGTCTGTTTTTATGTCCTTGTCAAGCAAAGACTTGAAGAAGCCGACTGGGTGTGCCCTTTTAGGACACATCAGTTGGATACGACAGATGATGGAGCGTGGGATCGTGCGCAGCATCCAGTGGTGCGACACCCGCGATATGACCGCGGATGGTCACACTAAGGGGAGCATCGACAGAGAGAGATGCTCCTTCAAGTCTTGAGAGGTATACAGGCCTTCAATCATGACCTAAAGAGACATACTCCATATCGGGCCGGCCAGACATCATGTTCTGACGCCGCCTGATGGTACGTCAAGTACAGCACTATACAAGCGAGGCAACTTGCGAGCGGGTCCACCTTCCTTTTGGCCCGCTATCTCTCTTCTGTCCTTGTGTACATTCGTTGCTGTGCCTGTTGTATAGGGGTGGCGGGCTCACGCTTCGCCCCCCCCCCCCGACTCTACAGCGAGTTCAGGGACGTAAGGAGTGGAAGCGAGAGTGCGCCCGCGGCCGCATCGGCTCAAGCGGCCGGCCGCCCAAATATGATTGTGCCTCACTGCGAGGCACACGATCGCTATCGAGACCGAAAGGATATTCCTATTGCTTAAAATGGCACATCCTCTCCTACTGGGACTATCGCTACACCGGCACAGCAGAGCTGGAGCTTGGCTTCGCCTAAGGCGACACTGCTGGCTGGGCCTCCCAGCCTCCTTCAAACTTCTTGAGCCATTTTGCATGTCATCGTGGGCTCTCCGAGGCCCTCGTGGAGCCGTCTTGGGCGATCTTGGAAGATTTGACTACCCAAGGGGAGGGGGGAGGGGGGGGTCAATATACCCTCCTATATGTCAAACCGTCTAGCTCACTGCGACCGTCCACCCCAACACATCAGTAACACCCGAGCCCCAGCATGCTTTGGATGGGCAGCTACCGGGAACCAGAACCGAACCCATGTGCGCGACGCTTGGGCGAGGTGCGCCACGCGTGCCAGGCTCGTCACGCGCGCCAGGCACCCTGGGGCCCGAGCGTGCCAGGCACGCCTGGTGCGCCAGATGCGCTACGTGTTTTTGCGTGCGCCCGGTGTGCCGCATATTCCAGCCGCGCCAGCTGCGCCACGCTCGGGGCACATGCAGAGTGTCTCGGGTGCGCCTGCGCACGTGACAGCACATATCGGGAAACATGTCGGCCCCCACCGCCCACGTCGAACACCAATGCCTATCTTGTGTGAGGTGGGCCTGTGCACGGCAGGCCATACGCAGATGCAGATGTAGCCGCGAGGAGGTGCGCGTCGGGGCGAGGAAGGTGGACACAGGAGGAGAAGAGATGGGTTGCAGCGCTCAGCAGATGGGATCGTGGGGGTCCGATGCTGGGCTGACCCTGCAGCCGCGCGGGCGCGAGGTTTACGCGCTGGGGTTCATCCCCGTGGGCACGGCCACCGGCTCGCAGCCCCGCCGCCACGACACCTCCTCGCCACTGCAGGGGCAACGCCAGGAAGGGATACGCTCAGGGAGGGACGCATCGCCCCCCCAATCACATCGCCTATAGCGGCCCGACAGCCCACCTCGCCAAGGAGCGTGCGGATTCTATCGGGGGCCTGCAACAGGTACGTCAAGAAACTTGCCTGCCAACAGGTGCCCCACGAACGTTCATTTTTCCCCATTGGCCCCGGGGACCCGCCGAGGAGGGCATGTGACACCTCAGTAGGTCGAAAAATCGACAGCACATGTATCCATACATCTACCTCCGACAAGACATCCCATTACGTGTATCTGCTGTATCGCCGATCTTTCGGCAGTGTATCGCCGATTCCAGGTCGATGCCCCCCCGCCCCCGAGCCAGTCCCTCCACCCCGAGCGTTGCCCCTCATCGCCGCTGGCCAGGGTCTTTGCCGCTCGAGCCAGATCTGCGACGATGCTGGGTGGGCCCCCCCCCGTGGCCAGGTCTCCGACGACATGATTTTGGCAGCCCGGGTCGTTCACTCGATCTTGGCATCCGGGGCCGTTTGTCGGGCCCGGGGGCCATCAGAAATGGATCGATCTCCGACGACATCGTTTTTCTCCACCGGCGTTGTTCCTCGATGTGAGCCTCCGAGGGGGCCGTTTTCGGGCCAGGGAGCCGTCAGAAATGGACAGCGATCTCCGACGGCCCGGCTTTTCAGCTGGCGTTTCGTGCTCAAGTCGGCCTTGGGTCCGCGCATCGAGTCCATCGTCTCGTCAGGTTTCGGGGTCTTCGACGATGCCGGAGGGCCCCCCCCCGTGGTCTAGAGCCTCTCCTCCTCGTCCTCCCTCGTAGAGGAGAAGAAAGTACCGGTGCTGCTGCGCTTCCCTCGGCGCCAGGGCTGAATTCGCTTCGAAGTCACATCACGAGTTGGGCGCGTTCGGAGGCATGCCGATTGTTCATCGTCGCCAACAGCGCCGACCCGAGAAACTTCAGGCACGTTCGTTTGGTGGAGGGAGCAGGGAGGAGAGAGAATGAAGGAGGAGGAGGAGGAGAGGGAGGAGGAGGAGGAAAAGGAAGATGCGAGAAGTGGCTGCGAGAACGGGTTGGGCATGATCCGTGTCAGCTTGTGCCCGAAATGCCGCGGTGGGTCCGTAGAACTCACCCGAGGCGTCCTCAGCCTCGCTCTCTTGAGCGGGCCGGCGCCTTGTGTGCACGGTGAGACCGCCGAGGAGCGCAAGAGCATAAGTGGGAGGAGGAGCAGCAGGAGGAGGAGGAGGTGGAGGAGACAGGCGGCCGGCTCGGGAGGCGCGGGCTTGGCTGCTGGCGCTGGCCAGGGAGCTCCCGGAGGACTCGCAGCAGGAACTTGCGCGAGCCTACCGGGTGCTCAGCTGCGCGCTGCAGCGGGAGCTGGCCCACCAGCTACGGCGCGCGGCCGGGCTGCGCTGAGGCTGCACCTGGGCCGCGGCCTAGGCCTGCGGCGTGCTGCTGGGCGCTGCGCCGGGCGGCTGCTGCTGCGCGGGGCTGAGGCGCTGCGCTGCTGGGCACTGCAGCTGGGCTGGCGCGGGGCGCCGGGCCGCGGCCGGCGGCGCGGCGGCGGGGCGCGCTCTGGCTCGGGCGCTGCGCGGCCGGCAGGGCGGGCGCGGGCTGCTGGGCGGGGAGGCTACGCCGGGCGCTCAGAGGAGCAGGAGGGCGAGCTGGGCAGGGGCGCCAGGCTGCTGCCGGAGCTGCTCGGGCCGCGGGCGGCGGCAGGCGGGCGCGGGGCAGGCGCGGCGGCTGCTGCCGGCGGCGCGGCAGGCGCCCGGCGCAAGCCGGCGGCGGGGCGACGGCTGGTGGCGCGGCGGCCCGCGGCGGCGGCGCGGGGGCGTCATGGGCGGCTGCGGCGCTGCTGGGCCGAGCGGCGCCTGGCGGTGGGACCGCAGGCCGCTGGCCCGGCGGCCGCGCGGCGGGCGGGTTTCGCGGCCGGACACGCGCCCCGCGGCCGGAGGAGGAGGAGGAGGAGGAGGAGGAGGAGGAGGTTTGTGGAGGAGGGAGGAGGGGGGCGGGAGGCGGAGGATGGAGGAGATGGAATAGGGAGGGAGGGGGAGGAGGAGGAGGAGGGAGGATGAGGAGGAGGAGGAGGGAGAAAGGAGGATGGAGGAGAAGGAGGAGGCCGCAAGGAGCGCAAGAGAGAGGGGGAGGAGGAGGGATCAGGAGGAGGAGGGACTAGGAAGATCAGGAGGAGGGAAGAGGAGGAGGAGGAGGAGGAGACCGCAAGGAGCGCGAGAGGGAGGAGGAGGGAGGGACGCAGGAGGAGGTCGCCCCCCCCGCGGGCAAGTCGTGAGCGGCCCCGTGCTCGCCGCTGGAGCTGCGGCTGGCGCGGCCGCTGGCGCCGTCCTCGCGGCGCCGCTGTACTGGTCCTGGAGGCGGGGGCGCCCCCCCCCCCGCCCCCCCCCCAGGCTCGGAGGAGGGTCCAGGGCCACCGTAGCGGCGATGGGCTCAGGTGGGGAATGCATCGACCCCCAGTCGCCTCCGATCGGGCCGAGGTAAAGATCGACGAGGTCGGTCTGGGGAGAGTGCCTTGATGTTCGTGCGTTATGGATGTTCTTTTGTGCGTCCTGGGGGAGGACATCCTCGAATGTTCGTCGGACTGACCGGCGGAGGGTCTCGTGTTCTTGAAGGGTGCTCTTCTGTTCTAAGTCCGACCGTATTGATCGTCGATGTTGGCGCGATAGCCCAACCCGCCCAGGAGCTCGCGGATTCGCTATGGGGGGCCTCGCGTCAATCGATCGGCGACTTCTATTTCCGACGCCAGGCCGATGTTTCCCCCTCCTCCCTACCATCCTCCATAAAGGTTGTGAGGAAGGAGGGTCGGGCCGGACGAAAGGGGGGGACTGGGAAAGGGCGGGTTACGAAATCTGCTGCATGCAGCTGGTTTCGGCCCCGCCGCCGGGCCCATTCCTCGATACATGGGCGCCGCCCGGCGCCGGGCGGCGCTGGGAAAATCAGCTAGAGCTGTTTCTCACCCCCCCCTTTCGCCTGGCCCGAAAGCCTACCAGGCTTCGATTCTCGAACTGCGAGAACGGCATAAGCACGGACCCTCCGAAGGTCCGCGCGGATCTCCTGGATCGGTGCTGGCTGTGCCCCCCCCGGGCGCCCACGCCCCGAGCCTTTGCCCGCCTTCCGCCCCGCGGTGCGGAGCGACGCGCTGTCGTCTTTCAGAAGGAAAAGAAACACACAGACACAATGAAGCGTCGACTCCCAGGAAAATATGCAAAAATATGGGAAGTGGGGGGAAGATGAAAACCCATCAAAATATGAGAAAATATTGGGGATCTTTTTATTTGTGTGTATTTATTTGTGTGTCCTGGGGCACCTTCAGTCTTGCAGGGCACGGCGTGCTGCCAGGGCCGCCGCCGCGACTCGCCGTGCAGCAGTTCCCGGCCGCGTGTGCTTCTGGTCAAGGTTCACCGAGCGAGTTCCACTGCTCGCAAAGTGCCCGCTCGCAAACGTCAGAAAAAAAACACATGTTTTTTTTCCCAATTTCTCGTAGACCCCCCGCGGGGGATCCAGGCCATTTGCGAGTAGTGACTTTGCGAGTAGTGAGCGCGCTCGTCTAAAGATGCTGGAGCAATTCTGGCCAGAGCGCACCCCATCGGAGAGGTCCTGGCATCGAGCCTTGAGGCGCGGTTCCCCGACACCCAACGTCTTGAGAAATCAAGTCGGATGTTTTGTCGTTTTCGGCCTCCGGGGTGGCCCAGGGCCCCAGGGCCATCAAAACAGATTTGGTTGACAAGCGGGCGCCAAGAAAAATTTGAGGTGGCCGGTTCGTTTCTTCCTGAAGGGACCGGGGTCTCTAGAGAGAGGGGTCCTTGGAGGTTTCGTTGCCGCTTTCAGGCTCCTGGCGGGCCCTTTACGGGCCCTTCAGGGGTGTCAACAAACGACTCAGGATGAAGAGCTGCTCCCGGGCAATCCGTAGCCATTTGGCTCAAGGCGGGAACTCGGGGCGTTTTTTGTTTCGCGCGGTCAAGAATGACCAAGCTCGCCATTTCCACATGTTTCGATTTTTTGGCGTAAGGATGCGCAATCATATTTTTCTTGCTGCATCGCGCTTCCATTTGCCAGTCTGCAAGGTGCCACAAAACAATAATGTGTACTGAACTGTGCAAACCAACTCAACAATGTCCGAGCAGGGGTGGGTGGTTACATGCGCAACCATCCATTGAAATCCAACGCGCAGTCTGATCGACGGATTTTTGTTTGCAGCAGGGGAGGGTACTACAGGCACCAGAAGTCTCGCTCTTGCTTATCTTCATTAGAAATGAGGGGTCAGCGCTTCACTGATTTTGAGGAGGGGGTGAGTGCTGGAGCAGAGGTAGTATCCTGGATGGCAAATCTTCTGCACAATCGTATGCTTGATGATGCTTCGGAATGCAGACGCTATTACATAACATTTGATGATACCACTGTTCCCCGTGATGTGGATGCGCTTCTAGACTCCCTTTCGAGCAATTATGTTTTGGACATGCTCTTGACGTTCCCCACAGCCAAGGTCATCATGACTACACGCCCACCTGAAGCATGGGTTTCAACAAGGTTACTTCGGTCTGAACGAGGTTGCGAGCCGGTGGAGCCACCAATTCAAGAAAGATGCGCGAGGAAAGTATGTCAGTCCTAGATCTCAGTAGGAACAAGTTGATCAAGCTCCTCAAGTTCAACCAGGATTTGATACGGCGCTGTGTTCCACAGCAGCAGTCCATGGACATCAACTTGTGGACATATCCCGCCGCTCGAAATAATAACTTGATGTATGATCTAGCGAACGTTACCAGACGCAACATCTCGCGCGTCGTAACGAGCCTTTAGCCAAGGCTCAAGCGGCACAAGCCTTGAGCCGGGGCTCAAGCCTTGAGCCAAGGCATCCTCTCATCCTACTACGTACTCCTTTTCCACCACATAATTCCTTTCTCTCTTACGCCACCCTTGTGGGCAGGTGTTGTCATGCCGGAAAAAGCATAGTATTCCTTCTCCTGACGCGACGCTCGGCACTGAAAGGTGGGCAGGACAAAGTGGCCCGCACTGGCAACTCGCCGCTCAAGGTCGACCAAGAAGGCACAAACTCGCGTCAGGACCTGTTCGAACAGCAGCAGAATAACGCCGACAAGAACAACACCGCGGGCACCAACGTGGCTCTTGGAGCGGCTCTGACTGCAGAGACGCCCAAAGTCATCCTGAAGAAACAGTCGGAGCCGATCCGCAACGACATCATAGCCATCAAGGCATATGGGATCACGCTGGAGGCCCTTGACACCGCAGTGAAACCTCTTCAAGCATCAGCCGACGACATTACCAAACGCGTATCGGCATTGGAAACTTCGTCCCGACCGTCATCAGCAAAATCCGCAGCGACAGTAGACTCGACTACCAACGCCAAGCTACTGCAGTTGGAGATGGACATCGAAGCAATGAAGCAGCAACGCGCTACTCCAGCACGTCCGGCAGCACACGTCACCCACAGCACCAACAGCATCACAGACAAGAGGGACAGCACTGCTGTCATCGGAAACGTCGACGGTTTTGACACCTTGGAGGCTGCAGCCGCTTGGATCAAACAAGAACTACAACGTCTGGGGGCGCCAGCACCAACCCACATGTACGCCAAGGGAGAATTCAACGATATGCTGTTCATAGAATTTCTCAGCATTGACGACAGAAGCCTTGCGGCTGGCCGGATTCGGAGCGCCAAGATTAACAAGAGCGAACGACATATTTGGTTTACAAACGATCGTCCACCACTGATCCGTGGTGCACGCAACTCTTGTTTTGGCGTCAAATACAATTTGAAGGACAATGGGCATCACTTGCCCAATGCGCGTCGACGACACAGACGAACCACACACGGTAACAGATTGTGGGAAGTTGGCTCTCACCGTGAAGATTGAAGGAGACACGGTTATCCAGGAGTGGGCCTTTGGTGAATGGGCAGAGGGGGGTACCTTGCACAACCGCGCAAAATTGACAGACGTTACCGCGAAATGCGATGAGATCGCCACCCGCGCCGCGAAGAGCCTAAAAGGATCTGCGAAGGGGGGTCCACAGGGTCCAAGCAGGACGCACGGCGGACCCTAGTGGCCACCACCAGCGTCCGAGCCACAACATGCAAGATCTATGTTTTTTTCTCCGTTCCGAACGTGGAGGTCACGGGCAAAGATGCCGACGCATCCATTCGTCTGGTTCCACATCTTCCCGATCCTCCTGAACCTCTTTCTCGTCTCTATTCGTCTTTCTCCAGAGGTGTTATTGTGGGTTTGGGCAAAGTTACCACTTCCAGCAGTATCTCGGCGACCGCTTCTTCCAGGGCGGACTTCGGGATATCCACCGCTCTGGTTCCAGATGTTTCTGGTCTTCCTGAGCCTTATCCTCAATATTCTTTTCTCTACGACGAGTTCTCCCATGATCGGGATCATGGAGCTCAGCGCCCGGAGTATAATCGCGTCTCCGACAACCGCCGAAGCCGCACTGGGAACAACGCTGCCCGGAGCTGTCCGGCAACCGCCCCTCCCACTGCACAGGGGCCCGCCCGGACGAGTGCGACCGCTTCGGCGAGACGCTGCTGCCCGACCTCTGCCTCTACCCACGGACTTCGGCATCTCACCTCTACTTCTGGCCCAGCACTCCGACCTCGAGCTTCGAACGATCGACTTTCCACCTCCACCTCCACCTCCGCAGATCGACCCCAAGCGTTCAGCAGCTCAGCACTCCGACCTCCGCCCTCCCGCAGCATGTGACTGCCCACCTCCACCTCCGCCCGTCGACCTCCATCGCTCAGCAGCGCAGCACTCTGACCTCCAACGCCCAGCAGCATGTGACTTCCCACCCCCACCTCCACCCATTGACCTCCAGCGTCTAGCAGCTCAACACTCCCACTTCCCCCCTCCAGCATCCGACTTTCCACTTCCACCTCCACCTGTCGACCTCCAGCGTCCAGCAACGCAGCACTCCGACCTCCAACCTCCAGCAGCGCGTGACTTTCCACCTCCACCTCCACGCGCCGACCTCCAGCGCCCAGCAGCTCAGCACTCCGACTTCCACCTTCCAGCATGCGACTTTCCATCGCCGCCTCCACGCGTCGACCTCCAGCGCCCAGCAGCGCAGCACTCTGACCTCCGCCCTCCAGCAGCGAGCGACTGTCCACCCCCGCCCCAACCCATCGATTTCCAGCGCCCAGCAGCTCAACATTCCGACGTCCAGCCTCCAGCATCTGATTTCCCACTTCCGCCTCCACCCGTCGACCTCCAGCGCCCAGCAGCGCAGCGCGCCGACCTCCACCCACCAGCAGCGCGTGACTTCCCACCTCCGCTTCCACGCGCCGACCCCCAGCGCCCAGCAGCTCAGCACTCCGACTTCCACCTTCCAGCATGCGATT